TATTCTATTCTATTCTATTCTATTCTATTCTATTCTATTCTATTCTATTCTTATTCCTATTCCATTCCATTCCATATTTTCTATTCTATGCTATGCTATGCTATGCTATGCTATGCTATGCCATGCCATGCCATGCCATGCCGTTCTATTCTTATTCTTATTCCTATTCTATTCTATTCCTAATTCTAATTCCATCCCATCCCATCCCATTCTTAATCCATTCTACTATTATTCTAATTTTAATTCTATTCTCATTTTCCGGCGTGCTGTTTATTGGATTGAAAAATAAGCCACTGCAAGGCAGAAAAATCTTGAATAAAACCAGAGTCAACACTGTTGCTGCAACAGGGATCTAGCTCCTGGGATCTGTGTCCTGTAAACAACAACCTGGTCTTTGCTGAATTGAATTTTGCAAAAAGGAATTCCCTTAATGGCAACGGTGTCTTCGATTTATTTACAGCCCATAATTTAACCTTTTTTCTGATGTCCACCGCACGTGGTTCTCTGCCAGAAAAATCAGGGCATTAATCGGAATTAAACAGCTGCCAAGCAAAGGGGCAGCCCGCCTTGTTGTTTTTGTCGCTTTTCAGGAGGTTGATTGCTTTTCATTCAAATTATTAATTGCTTGTGTGTGTGTGGGGGGGGGGTTGGACTAGATGACCTACAAGGTCCCTTCCAATTCTGTTAATCTGTTATCGACATTGATGAGCAATGTTGATTGCTTATTTAGTATCCCATGACTATCACTAAGTGTTGTATCTTATGAGTTATGATGAACATATTTTTACGATGACCAGAATTTGTCACTTATAGCTTTTAGGTACACCGAGAGACAAATTCCTTGTGTGTGTCCAATCACACTGGGCCAATATAGAATTCTAAATTATTGTTTTGTCATTTTTTCAGGTTGGCCTTCCCATCTCTAACTCCAACATATTTAACTACCTGATTTTTTTCCACCTTCTTCTAACTTTCAACTCATTACTTTAACTTTTCACTCCCAATTTTTGCCTTGTTGACCTGGGTGTGTGTGTGTGTGTCTCGGCCAGTTTCCCACCCGCCCTGCACCTCATCAAGTGTCCTTTTCATAACCTTCATAACCAGGAGGTAGAAAAGGGCTTGTGCAACTCGGAGCGTAGAAGCCCAAGAATATCCTTGAAGCAGCTAAAAATTGAAGATGTGGGGATCCCTCAACCCAACTGCATGCTGCAGTGGGGGGAGGCAGAGGGGGGGTGACCAGGACAAGGTTTTCAGCCTGCTAACCCCCCCCCCCCAGTGTGAGACCCTGTTGGAAATTTGTCCGTCTGTCATCTAATCCAGGGGTCTCCAACCTTGGCAACTTTAAGACTTGTGGACTTCAAGTCCCAGAATTCCTCAGCCAACAAATTCTGGGAGTTGAAGTTCACAAGCAGTAGTGGGATTCCAATAATTTAACCACCAGTTCTCTGCCTTAATAATTTCTTCCAACAACCATTTCACTAAACTGCTCAGAAACTTCACAACCAGTTCTTGTGAACCAGCGCGAACCGGCTGAATCACATCACTGTCCGCAAGTCTTACATTTGCTAAGGTTGGAGACCCCTGATCTCGTCCATCCATTCCTATGAACAGAGACCGTCATTACAGGCAGGCATACACGAATGAAGTTCGCTGGCTGCATGTGCAGAGGGGTGTGTGCCTCGACTTACAACCATAGTGGGCGCCCCCGAATTTACCTCACTTTAGTGAAACTCCGGTCAAATGGAGATTTGGCCCTGTTTTGTGGCTTCTCCTGGAGAATCGTGGCAATCGTTAAGTTGGCGACAACGGTTGGTTCGTCAGGAAGGGTCGCAAAAAAGGGGATCGGGGGACACCCGCGCCTGGGACGTCACCACCGTCGTAACTATGAACCAGATGCCCACCATCTGAATTTGGATCAGGGGACTGTGGAGGTGTCACGAGTTGTAAGTGTGAAAACTGGCCCTTAAGTGACTTGTTTCCCAGTGCCATTTTCACTTTGAATGGTCACTCGATGAACTATCATAAGTCGAGGACTAGCTGTACTTGAGGATTTGTTCACTATGATGTCGGACCGAGCTTCGTTCATTTTTTTAAAACTCATCATCTAATTCGTTCCTGGCCAGCTGCTGTTCCTACTGGGAAGAAATAAAATAGCTTCCGTACCTGATGTCAGACAACAAATCGAGATTAAAACATTTCCTTTTGGAAGGGAAGGTTAGAAATGTCTGAATTAGAAGATGTTAAATTGACAAACCGGGTGAAATCCCCACGGAAAACGTGCAATCCAAGACAGAAGCCCTGCTTAGTGTTATGTGGCTTTCTTCTCCGTCCAGAGCACCTCCCAAAACATTCCCCCCTCCAACAAGGATTAAAAAGAGCCTAAGTAATAACCCAACTTTTTAAACCTTCTTTCTGCCATCCAATCTGCCCTGAATCTTTTCAATATCCCACCCCGATCTTTTGAAATATCTGTCTTCCACTCGATTCCAAAGAGATTAAAAACCTAAAGCAAAGCAACCCGCGAGAGGATTAACGTTTTGAACGAGCCACAAAACAGTTGTGGAACCGCCGTAAACCAACAAAAAAGTAGCTAAGAAAAAAAAACATCAAGGAAAAAACAAAAATATTTTAAATGGATTGGGAAGCTCACAAGGGAAAGTCAACACTTTGCATTAGTATACTAGGTAACTATTGTATTGTTCATTGACATTGACAAATAACCAATAGTAAAAAAATCACCAATCTGCAGAATAAAGACAAAAAGACATTTTCCCCTAAAACCCAATTTCCCCCCCTTCTCTCTCTCTCTCTTTTTTTTTTAGAAAAGTAAACTTACACGACCGGCGTTGCAAATTTTATCCATGAACAGACAGACTTCTGGGAATTATTATCTTTCATTTAAGTAAAATTCTCGGGCTGGTCGCTGAGACATGCTCCTTCCTTGCCGTCACAACTGGGAGTGTGCAGTATCTTCCCTTCTTCCTTCCTTCCCTCCTTTCTCCCCCGCCAAGTGGGGACCCACCCAGATTCAATGTAGACTTCGTCACCGTGCTACAACATGGAGAAGCAGCCTAAATTCTAGGCTCTAAATTCTTGGGTGACAACCTCTGCATAGCAATGAGCCGTCGACCCAGATAAGCATATTGGTAGATTATCGGTAAGAGATTTTTCACCCAGAATTTTTTCTTGCTGGTTTCTATGTTTTTGTTTTGTTTTGAAGTTCAATTCCTCCTTTAGGCAAGTTGAATCTTTAAAGCTCTGGATTCAAACAGTCCTGTAAAAGTTTGTTTGCCATTCGCTGCTTTCTTAGCATGTAGCTGCACGTCCACAGAATGGTTACAATCGCACGGCAAGTCGGATCTGTGCCTTGCTCCAATCGACTTGCTCATTCTTCGCTCCTTTTGAGTGTAAGTTTACAAGGCCTTCTCTCCTGGAAGAACAGGATTTCCACCAAAAAAAAAAAAAAAAGGGTACCACACCCTCTTGTTTGAAACCAGCAGGCTCCGAAAAGGTTGAACAGAAATTTATGTAGAAAAAGAAAACAATTAAAGCGCCCAGCCAAGTCCTGGACTTGCAACACCCTCCTTTAGCGACCAAAGTTATGATGTCGCTGAGAAAAGGGACTTACGGCCACTTGTCACACAACCGTCGTAGGATCCCCCCACGGCCATGTGATCAAAATGCAGGCACTTGGTGATGGCCTCCTATTTGTGATGGTTGCAGCCAGTGGTGGGTTTCCAAATTGTATCCTACTGGTTCTACGTGCGGTTTTATGCACACTACAAGTTCTATGCACACGGTTCTAACGTGTTTTGTGCACGTGCAGAGGATTCAGACTGACCTCTGTCAAGGCTGGTAAACTGCTTTTTAGCTCAGCTGAGGCGTGGCAATCCACTCTGCCATGTGAATCAGCTGAGCTAAAAAACAAGGGAATATAGGAGAGGTAAAGCGGGGCCAACCAGAGGTGGTATTTGCCGGTTCTCTGAACTAGACAAAATTTTTGCTACCAGTACACCAGAACCGGTCCAAACCATTTGAGTATCACCTCTGCAACATCCCAGGGTCATGCGATCCCTTTTTGGGTCACCTCCCGACAAGCAAAATCAATGGGATTTGACTTTACATCCGTTTGCCGAACTTACCCAATGGTGATCCAGTTAACGACGACTGTGAGAAAGATGGTAAAATGGGGCCAAGAAAAAAGTTACTTAGCAAGAAACTTTGCTTCTAACCTTCATGGGGTCTCACAAGGACTCATCCACGGACGGAAGCGAACCAAGATTGATCAGAACTTGGTTCCGGATTTTTTTTCAGGTTACGCTCTGAAGGCAGATTATTTCGGGGGCTTTAGGAAATCTGCAATAAAAAATACCTCCCATGGTGCAGTTAATATTCCACTGCATTGTTTCCTCGGAATCCAACAATAAGAAGCCAAAAAAAAAATATGACTGCTGTTATTAGATTGATCCAGATGCTGAAAAATAAGAGGGAGCAAATGGAAGCCTCTGGGACCCTTCTTGGCTCGATCCCAGGATCATCTGGATGTGCCCAGATCCCCTGCAAAGCTTCAAAGACAGAAACCATCTGCTCTTAACTACAGAACCGAATAACAGAGTTGGAAGGGACCTTGGAGGTCTTCTAGTCCCACCCTCTGCTCAGGCAGGAAAGGGTATAGCATTTCAGACAAATTTCAGACAAGTGACTGTCCGATGTCTCCTTAAAAACTTCCAGTGTTGGAGCATTCACAACTTCTGGAGGCAAGTTGTTCCACTGATTAATTGTTCTAACTGTCAGGAAATTTCTCCCTGGTTCCAGGTTGCTTCTCTCTTTGATGAGTTTCTCCCCATTGCTTCTTGTCCTGCCTTCAGGGGCTTTGGAGAATAGCTTGACTCCCTCTTCTTTGGGGCAGCCCTTCAAATATTAGAAGACTGCTATCATGTCACCCCCTGGTCCTTCTCTTCATTAGACCAGATATACACAATTCTCACAACCTTCATTGCATGTTTTAGCCTCCAGTCCTTAATCATCTTTGTTGCTCTTCTCTGCATTCTTTCTAGAGTCTTGAAAGGATTAGAGCATATACAGAGTGCACCTGGCTTGACTTTTGATTCCCTTGCTGGGCTTAGCTGAGCACAGCTGTAACTTGTGCTGAGCTGGAAGCTGAGCCAACTGCAGAGATAAAAACTTCTAGGCGAACTGCCAACCTTAGCCGAGCAAAATAACTACTTGAGAAACGCAAAATGCATCTATCTGCTCGCAGTAACTAACTTAAAATGTGTTCTTCCCAGTAACTTAAAATATGAGAAACGAAGCTTTGGGCTAAACTGTATTTCTTTCCAATCCATCTAAGTAAAGGTTCCTTTGTTAGCAGAAGAGCCAAGAAAATTTCACAAGCTTTGCATATGATATGAAATAATGTTTCCGTAGCAATGATGGTTTTTGCAAGCTGGGTAATCAATGAACATTCAAGAAAAAGTTTTTTTCGTGCGCACGCACCTGATTTTCTCTCTCTGCCTTGCTGTTTAAGGTGGGAGACAAAAAGGTCGCCCAGTCTTTGCTTCTTGATCAGAGAAATAAAAGCTGATTATCGGTAGCCTCATGTTCAGAGTTTCATTGGACTTATTAGATTCCTAACAGATGTCCTAACAGATAATCAGAGTTGGAAGGGACCTTGTAGGTCATCTAGTCCAATCCCCCACCCAAGCGGGAGACACTACACCATTTCTGACCAATGGCAGTCCAATCTCTTCCTGAAAGTCTCAAGTGATGACGCGCCCACAACTTCCGAGGGCAACTTCTGTTCCATGGGTTGATTGTTCTTACTGTCACAAAGTTTCTCCTTATTTCCAGGTTGAATCTCTCCTTGTTCAGTTTCCATCCACTGTTCCTTGTTTGGCCTTCAGGTGCTTTAGAAAATAGCTTGACTCCTTCCTCCCTGTGGCAGCCCCTCAAATATTGGAAGGCTGCTATCATGTCTCCCCTGATCCTTCTCTTCCCTAGACTAGCCAGGCCCAGTTCCTACAACCGTTCATCATATGTTTTAGCCTCCAGTCCCCTAATCATCCTGGTTGCTCTTCTCTGTACTTTTTCTAGAGTCTCAACATCTTTTTTATAATGTGGTGAACAAAACTGGATGCAGTACTCTAGGTGTGGACTTACTAAGGCTTCCTAAGGCTTCCCAGAGTGGTATTAGTACTTCCCTTGATCTTGATTGTATCCCTCTGTTAATACAATTTAGGATTGCATTAGCTTTTTTGGCTGCTGCTGCACACTGCTGGCTCATATTTAGTTGATTGTCCACTAAGACTCCAAAATCCCTCTCACAGTTACTGCTATTGAGCCTGGTTTCACCCAGTCTATATGTGTACTTTTGGTTTTTCTTGCCTAAGTGTGGGACTTTACTTTTCTCTACATTGAATTTCATTTTGTTAGATATGGCCCAGTGTTCTAGTTTGTCAAGATCCATCTGGATCTTGAGCCTGTCTTCTTGGGTGTTAGCTATTCCTGCCAGCTTAGTATCATCTGCAAATTTGGTAAGTTCCCCTTCTATTCCCTCATCTAAGTCGTTAATGAAGATATTGAAGAGTACTGGGCCTAAGATGGAACCTTGTGGCACCCCACTGCTTACTTCCCTCCATGTAGACTTAGACCCATTAAGGACTACTCGTTGAGTATGGTTTGACAGCCAGTTGCGAGTCCATCTAGTGGTGGTGCTATCTATTCCACTTTTTTCTAGCTTACTAAGAAGTAGGTTGTGGTCTACCTTGTCAAATGCCTTGCTGAAATCTAAATATATTATGTCCGCAGTATTTTGCTGGTCGACTAATTTAGTCACTGTGTTGAAGAATGAAATAAGATTGGTTTGGCATGATCTGTTCTTAACAAACCTATACTGACTGCTAGTTATTACTTTACTTGTTTCTAGATGTTGGCAGATCTGTTTTTTTATTACCTTTTCCAGTATTTTCCCGGGTATTAATGTTAGGCTGATTGGTCTATAGTTTCTTGGGTCTGCTTTTTTTCCTTTTTTGAAGATGGGAACCACATCAGCTCTTTTCCAGTCCTCTGGTAGTTCCCCGGTGCTTCTGAGCTGCACTCAAAAAACCTTGCAGTCTCAACATCTGGATGCAGTATTCCAAGTGTGGCCTTCCCAAGGTATTAACACTTCCCGGGATCTTGATTCTATCCTTCTATTCATGCAGCCTAGGACTGTGTTGGCTTTTTTGGCTGCTTCCACACATAGCTGGCTCAAATTTATGTGATTGTCCACTAGGACTCCAAGATCCCTCTCACAATTACTACTATTGAACCAGGTTGAAGCCCAGAAATGTTAAAGTTGCCAAGGTTGGACACCCTTGGTCTAGAATAAGGGTCTTCAAACTTGGCAACTTTAAGACTTGTGGACTTCAACTCCCAGAAGTCCTGAGCTAACATGACTGGAGGAGGAATTCTGGGAATTGAAATCCACAAGCCTTAAAGCTGTCAAGTTTGAAGACCCCTGGTCTAGAAGGATAGGGGGCCAGCATCTGGCTAACAGCAGCTACCTCTGGTCCAGGGCCACAGGTGTGAGATTGTGCATTGAAACAACTGATGCTAGGCTACCTGAGGAGCTATCCTATGTGAAGGATGTGGCCCCAAAGCTTTATTATGCCCTTGGTGATCACACAACCATCATCATCATCTTCTAACGACCTAATAATCTCTTGCGGGGTGGAGTCTGGGCAACTGAATGGAGCTGAGTGATTATTGGCCGGATGCCCTTCTTGTTGCCAATGTGGAGTCATATTCAGCAAATATATTTCTCATTGTGCCCAGAGAGATAACACAACCAGCCCCAAAGTCTAAATTGGCCACCCTCTCCATAAGAAAACCTTTGCAGTTATGAATACTAAACGTTGCTAAGAAAAGCCGAATTGAAGACTCAAAAAATGAGGAACCGGGGAAGGGGAAAGTGACTTTGAGACAAGGGTACCCCGAAATATATTTATGATTAATTTTCCTGAGTCAAAATGAACTGTGTCATTGACCGTCTTCGTTCCAAATCATCAAAAGTCACAAGTTACCTCAAGATCCTCGAGCGAACGGGTAACGCTGAATCTCTTGGAGCGCCCAAACGATCTCCGAGCCGAAGAAGAGGGATGGAAGAGTTGCACCAATCCAAAAGCGGGTCCGAATTTTGTGCCCTAAATCAGCCAAAAAGAGACACTGAATGTCGGTGTCAGCCTTCCAAGTAACAACCTCCAAATTAAAAGACTCCCGAGACTGTTATCTTCTCAAAGATCCATTTTATTAGAGTCTAGCCCGATACCTGTGCTTCGCTACAAAGCTATGTGGTTGGGCTTAGTTTTGGAGGCTTTAGTTTTTGCAACAATTTAGAGGGTCGTTGAGGACACTTGGGAGGTTTATCTGTGTCCTCAGAGTCATCTGAGTATTGCTCCTGGTTCCTGTAGTCTCGGATGACCTTGAGGACACAAATAAACCTCCAAGTGGCCTCAACGACTCTCTAAAAGGATGCAAATGACCAGCTGCCTGCAAGGAGTATCAATCCTTCCGTTCCCCACCATCCGGTCAGAGCTGAAGAAGCTTCTTGGATGAGAAGCGAAACATCTTCAAAGAAAAACCATAAAGTTCAGTTGCCTCTTGAAAAAAAAGCACTCCGAGGACATAGACAAAGCTCGAAGTGGCCTCAACGACTCTTTAAAAGGATGCAAATGACCAGCTGTCTGCAAGGAGTATAAATCCTTCCGTTCCCCACCATCCAGTCAGAGCTGAAGAAGCTTCTTGGATGAGGAGCAAAATGTCTTCAGAAGGAAAACAAACAAGAAAGTCCAATTGCCTTCACAAATGTCTCACTTAACGAGAAATTTTGGGCTCGACTGTGGTCGTACGTTGAGGGCTACCAGGGATCGATGGATCACTTTGGGCTATTTATTTTGGAAGAATATTAGCTCTAGCACTTGGAGTGGTGAGGTGACCTAGAGGTGGAGCTCTCACAATCTGGAGGCTGTGAGTTCGATCCTAGGTAGAGGCAAATATTGCTCTCTCTGGGCAGAATGAGACTATATCTGCCAAACAAAAAACTCTGCATTGGTGACAGGAACGGCATCCGGCCAGTAAAACGCTCCGCTAACTCCTTTCAGTTGCCCAGCTCCTTGCAGTTACCCTGCAAGGGATTATGAGGTCATTAAAAGAGGAGGAGGAGGATTAGCTCTAGCACTTGGGAGACACTCGATAAAATAATCGTTTCTTGCACTCATGTTCACCCCAAGAAATCTGTCATTCCAATTCATTAGGAGGAGCTGATATTTGATGAAACAGTCCAGATGCACGAACAATGCTAGCAAAACTGCATAACCCTACATCAAGTTATTTTTTGTTAGGTAATTATACTGCCCGATCTTTGTTTCCATTTGCAAGGTTTCAAGTTCTTTGTCGAGCAAAATTAGCGGCAGCTGGGATTTATTTAGTGTTGCATACACCAGCAATGTGAATTTTCTTAATTGCAGGGTTTCGTTCTATTTTTAAACAATAGAATCCAAAAACATTCTTATTACGGGGTGCTGTGAATTTGAGGGGGAGGAAACCATTTTCCGAAAGGGTAAACGCTTTAAATAGCAGCCCTGGTTTCATTCCCTCCGACGTCCCCATGGAATGTTAACGCTCGCCATTGTGCCGCCTCCACGCTGCAACTCTGAGCAGGCAAAGGGGTGGATCCAGATTTAGGCCTGTACATTTGGTAGGGAACAAATTGTCCCAAAGGTGTTTTTTTTTTCAGGAGGCAACTGGACTTCCTTGTGTTTTTTTCTTTTGAAGACATTTCGCTCCAAATCCAAGAAGCTTCTTTAGCTCTGACTTGGATGGAGGAGAAGGGAAGGATTTATATAGCTTGCAGACAGCTGGTCATTTGCCGGTGAGGCTACTTGGAGGTTTATCTGTGTCCTCAGGGTCACCTGAGTGGGGCTCCTGGTTCCTGTAGTCTGCAATTTTTTTTCTCTGGAAATCCATTCCTACTCCCACACCATTCAAAGGGCGTTCGTCCCAAATTGTACAGCTAAAAGTAGACAAAAGGAATAGGAATGGATTTCCAGAGAAAAAAGTTACAGGCTATAGGAGCCAGGAGTACTACTCAGGGGACCTACTCCAGCGATAACAGTAGCAATTACACTTAGACTTATATACTGCTTCACGGTGCTTTAATGCCCTCTCTAAGCAGTTTACAACGTCGGCCTCTGGCCCCCAACAACCTGGGTCCTCATTTTATGAACCTCAGATGGATGGAAGGCTGGTCAGAATCGAACTGCTGGCAATGGACAGAGTTAGAATGTAGTATTGGAAGGAAGGAAGAAAAGAAGGGAGGGAGGGAGGAAGAAAGAAAGCAGTACCACTTAAGATTTATATACTGATTCACAGCGCTTTACAGCCTGCATTAACACACACATACAGATACCTCATCTTCTTTTAACGACCTCATAATCCCTTGCATGGTGGAATCTGGGCAACTGCATGAAGGTGAGTGTTTACTAGCCGGATGCCCTTCCTGTCACCAATGCAGAAGTTTTTTTTCAGCAGATCTGTCTGTCTGTCTGTCTCTATTTGTATCTATCTATCTATCTATCTATCTATCTACCTATCTATCTATCATCTATCTATCATCTATCTATCGATCGATCGATCTATCATCTATCATCTATCTTTCTATCTTTCTATCTATCTATCTATCTATCTATCATCTATCTTTCTATCTTTCTATCTATCTATCTATCTATCTATCTATCATCTATCTATCTATCTCAATCAATCAATCAATCAATTAAAGAACGCACATTTGTGTTGAGGACTACCTGCATTTCATTAACAGACGTACCTTCTTGTCTTCTTGGGGGGACCTGAAGCCCTGTCGAGAATCCAAGCGATCCTCCCTCTGAAATTCTTTCTCCGCCGGCTCTTTCTTTGGGGACAGGAGATGAGGCGGAGTGAAGCCGCCGCTGACCTTGTATCTGTCTGCTGGGATTTTGCTCATGGGAGGCGGAAGCGTCCCGCAGTTGACACTCGACCAACCGTCGGTAGAGTCCGTGTACGACTCTTGGTCGCTCAGGCATCCCTGCTGCCAGTCTTTCAGCACGTGGGCAGGCAACCACCTCTGATGGTCCCCGGGGATCTTCTGACCTGAGGCTTTGGACAAAGGCCCCGGGACTTCAGCGTGAGCCGAAGAGGCCAGAAACGTACTAAGGTTTTGAGATTTGTCGTTCTGGAACGTGGGAACTAAGCCTACGTTTTCTTGTTCATGACCAAAACTCCAGTGGGGATTCTGAGCTCTGTTTATTGGACTGCTCTGGAGATTGCTAAGCGGGTGTTTGTTGGAGTTGCTGCCTAAGTCTACCACTAAAACCCGACTTTTTTCCTCCTGATTGACGTTCCCGATCCCGCTATCGCTGTTACTGCTCATGCTGTTGTTCCGCTGGGCGTCCGCGTCTCCGTCTAGGAAGGCCCTGGCCCGCACCCCGTCAATGAAATCCCCCATGTCCCTGTAAAGGACAGAGACAAACTGAAGGACCGGGAAAGATGACAAGGGGAACTCGAGGCAGCCATTGGTGTCCGGATCGGCCGTGCATTCCAATCCGAACCGCCGGGCAATGCCCTGGTGAATTTTATGACTGAAGAGCTCAGGATCCACCATAAAGACGTGACAGGACGTCCTCAGGATCGCGTCATCCTCCGGAGCTAAGCTTGCCTCCTCGATGCTCTGCATGGTGACCAGTCCAAAAAATCGCTTGTCGTCGGGACAGAGCGCGCTGAAGGCCAGCTTCTCGGCTGGATAGGTTGCAATCACGATGGACGGGTTTGTGCACAGCTGGACGGCATCATGCATGATCCGTAGGGCCACTAACGAATGGATGCGTTGCTCGGCCCGAAGGCGGCGCATGCAGCCACGGATGGCCTGCAAGCTGTCGTATTCCAGATTTGAGCTGGAAGAAGGGAGCTCGATGGACCCCAAGTATCCCACAATCATGGCCACGTTCAAAACGCTGGCGTCAATTGCACCACATTCCTGGTCTTCCGGGCAAGCTTGAAAAACCGAGTTGTGGTTCGCGGTCTGGGCCTGCTCATCGTACAGGACGTGGGGTTTATCGTTTGTCAGCGGAGATTCTGTTTCCAACTTGGCCCCCTCGTGGACAGACTTTTCCTTTCTTTTTGGCACCTGTGTCTCGCTCGGGCCAATATTAGAATTTTCGAAGATCATGTTGAAAATTTCACCGGATTGCATTTCCTCAACCACTTTCACCGCCCGGTTTATACCCGGGCCTTTCAGGTCAAGCATGGTCTTTGGCCACCCTTTTCCGTCATAAAGGCCCTCTTCTTCCTCGCTGGAACAAGCTTCCGCATGACCGAACCCTTCGGCGATGACCATGTGCAAAACCCCCGAGCATTTGCCGATCAGCTTCACCACGTCTTCGTGGGAGGCCCTTTTCACATTGATTTCGTTGATGGCAAATATTTTATCCCCTGCCTTCAGTCCCACGTAATCGGCCGGACTTCCTTTTAAAACAGAATTCAACACGCAGGGAGCTTGGCCAGAAAGAGTAAAGCCATATCCCGCTCTGCCTCGGGCGATTTCGACGTTTCGGATGCTGGAGCTGTGAGCCCGTAGCCGACGCTTGGGTTTCTCTCCTAGCCTGTACATGCTGGCATTTGGTCGGGGCAAAATAACCTCTGTCTGGAATTACATTTTTGTAGGTTATCCCTTCTCTTGTCCTAAAGGAAAAAGAACATCCAAAAAAGAGGTTGAGACTTTGGAAAAATAAATAGGAATTCTTTACTGGCCATGTGTGATTTGGACACACACAAGGGATTTGTCCCCGGTGCAGAAGCTCTCAGTGTACATAAAAGCTATAAGTGATAAATCATGATCACAGTCGTCATAAAAAATACATTCCTCGTAAATCATAAGATACAACACTTAGCAATAGCCATAGGATACTAAATAAGCAACCAATGTAAACTGTACTAGGAAACTAAATGAAATAATACAAATTGTAAAATTACAAGCAACAAACTTATAGTCGTAAAGTAGAAATGTAGGTCGTAGGAAGGACGAGAAGAAAAAGTGCAGAGAAGAGCAACTGAGATGATTAAAGGCCTGGAGAGTAAAATATGTGAAGAAGGGTTGTAGGATTTGAGTTTGGCCAGTCTAGAGAAAAGAAGGACCAGGGGAGATATGATAGCAATCTTCCAGTATTTGACGGGCTGCCCCAAAGAAGGGGAGGGGGTCAACTTATTTTTCAAAGCACCAGAAGGCAAAAGAAGAAACAATGGATAGAAACTCATTAAGGAGAAAAGCTACCTGGATTTAAGGAGAAACTTCCTAATAGTGAGCACAATTCACCAGTGGAACAAGAAGTTGCCTTCAGAAGTTGTAGGTGCTCCATCACTGGAGGTTTTTAAGAAGAGACTGGACAGCCACTTGCCTGGAATGGTCTAGATAGGACTTCCTGTTTGAGCAGGGGGTTGGGCTAGAAGACCTCTGTCATGCCCCTGTTGGAGCCCGGGACAGATGGAGTCTGGGACAGAAGGGAGAGATGGAACAGCTGACAGGGAGTGGGGGTGTGGCTCTGGTGGTTGTGGAGGAAACTGGGGAAGGGCACAGGCCGGATGGGCATTCCGAGGAAGACCCAGGCCCATCCCCTCTTCATCCTAGGGCACGCAGGGAGGAGCGGATAAGGGAGAAATGTGAGTGGCGTGGTCTACGGGGGAGGAAGGGGCCCCGATCCCCTTCATGGGCTGCAGCTGGGAGGACTGTTTAAAAGGACAAACTATGCATGGCAAAGTTGCTGGAAGCAAAGTGTGCATTATTCTTGTTGGAGCTTATCTGGGTTTTGGCTTCCTCCCAACTGTGGTTGCTGCGTTATCTGGTAGAGGTCTGCAATTTATCATCCTTGCCCGCCATAGTAATTCCTTCAGTGTGGTTTGTGTTGGGTTTTTTTTTATTTTGAATTAACTTTACTTTGGGTGCAGACTGCATTTACTCCCTTCGTAAACTGTTTTCTTTAAGAGTTTGATATCCAGCCGAGGATAATTGAACACTGGGAGCCAAGTTGAAGGCATTAAAGGGAATTTATTCTATTTTTGTGACATGCCCCGAGTCATCACAACCTCCAAGGTCCTTTCCCACTCTGTTATTCTGTTGTGGGTGCTCCATCACTGGGTTTCAGCAAACCTGGCAGGGCTTGGACAGACTCGCTGCAATTGTTAAATTGGTCCCATTCGGTTGTTAAGCGAATCCGGACTCCCCCGTCGACTTCACTGTTCAGAATGCCCTAAGCCACGTTCCATGGGTTTCCCAGCCATTTAATACAGGCAGTCCTCGACTTGGCAGCTACAACCGAGCCCACAATTTCTGTCGTTAAGTGTCACGTTTGCTGAATTTTGCTGAACCTTTTACGAACTTCTTTGCCGCTGTCGGTAAGTGAATCCCAGCAGCTGGCAAGTTAGTAGCCCTGTTGGTCAGGCAAACTTGGCTTTTCCCCTGGACTCAACTTGCGAACCTAACGGAGCTCAACATTTCTGTCGCTAAGGGAGACATCCGTGTGAGTTCTGTCCCCTGTTACGACTTTCCTTCCCCCCTGCGGACTTTGCCGATCTGAAGGTCGCCAAAGCAGATCACGGGTCCCCCAGGGACCTCAGGATCATCCTAAATATGAGTCGGTCATCAAGGGTCTGAAATTTTGATCCCAACCCTTAGTTGGGGGAAAATGCTGCACCGGTCGTAAGTTTGAAAAAGGGTCATACCTCGCCTTTTTCAGGGCCGAGATAACTTTGAATGGCCACTAAACGAAACCGTTGTAAGTCCAGGACTGCCTCTCCTGCAAACCCCTGGGCTGGCAAATTGATTCAGTTATCCCGGGAGAGAGAGAGAGAGAGAGAGAGAGAGAGAGAGAGAGAGGTATCTCCCCCACTTTCCTTCCTTCTTTCTTTCTTTTGCTCCCTCCCTTTTCCTCCCTTCCTTCCCCGGCTACCCCTCCTTCTCACTTCCCTCCCTCCCTCCCTCCCTTCCTGTTCTTCCTTACCTCGTCTTTTGCTCTCCCTCCCTTTATCTTCCTTCCTTCCCTTCCAACTCCTCCCTCCGTCCCATCCTTCTTTTTACCCCTCCTTCCCTTCCTGTTTTTTCCTTCCTTCCGCCTTTCCTACTTTTCTTTCTTTTGCTCCCTCTCTCCCTTTTCCTTCCCCCTCTCTCTACGCCTGCCTCCCTCCCTTCTGTCCTTCCTGGTCTTTTTCCCTGCCTTCCTTCCTTCCCTCCGTCTCTTTTCTTTCCTTCTTTATTCCTTTTTCCTTCCTTCCTTCCCTTTCTACCCCCCTCCTTTCTTCCCAATTTTTCCTTCCTTCTTTCCTTTCCTTCTTTTGCTCCCTCCCTTTTCCTTCCTGTTTTTTCCTTCCTTCCCTCTTTTCTTCCCTTCTCTTTCACTCTCCCTCCCTTTTCCTTCTCTCTCTACGTCTCCCTCCCTCCTGTCCTTCCTGTTCTTTTTTCCTTCCTTCCTTCACTCATCTCTTTTCTTTCCTTCCACTGCTCTTCCTTTTCCTTCCTTCCTTCCCTTTCTACCCCTCCCTCTCTCTCTTCCCTCCTTCCTGTTCTTCCCTCCCTTTCTTTTTGTTTGCTCTCTCCCTCCCTTTACATTCCTTCCTTCCCTTTCTACCCCTTTCCCTCCCTCCCTTCCTTTCCTGTTCTTCCTTCCTTCCTTCCCCTTCTACCCCTCCCTTCTTCCTTCCTGTTTTTTCCTTCCTTCCTTTCCTCTTTCCTCTCCTTCTTTCACTCTCCCTCCCTTTCCCTCCCCTCTCTAATGCCTCCCCCCCTCCCTCCCTTCCGTCCTGTTCTTTTTTCTTTCCTTCCCTTTCTCGCTTTTCTTTCCTTCTCTCTTTCCTTCTCTCTCCCCCTTCTTCCCTCTCTCCCTCCCACACAATTTTAGAGTGGAGTCGACCCACCTTCCAGCCCCTGAGGTGGCCTGGAGCTGTGTCCACCCCTGGCCAGGTCCAATTGGGCCAGCCAGACTTGTGAAACTCGGGGAACGGGTTCAAGAAAGGCACCACACCTGTGAGCAATTATCAGAGGGCTTTCCTGAGCCTTGCCAAAAGGGAGACGGAGATCAAAGGCCATTTTAGAACAGAGCTATTATTCTAGGATAATGATTAGTTATCAGACTGACAGCTCCGGAGAAGAAGGACCGCAGTACTAATTAAGAACAATTGCAAACACAAGGAAGGGTATCGTGAAAGAAAGATAATAAGAGAGGACAGAAAGTACAGGTCATCCTCAACTTACAACGGTTCACTTAGTGGCCATCTGAAGTTACAAAGGCATTTGAAAACAAAAACAAAAACAATTCAGTAACCATTTTTTTTTTTTACTTCTGACCAGGGGTGGGATTCAAAAAACCTAGCAAACGATTTCGCTGCCTGGTTGCGGGGTGGGCGTGGCCATGGTGGGCATATCCCACCGGAACTTCCGAGAGGGCCACTTTTCGCTTTCCACAGAGTCCGGAGGCTTACCTCGGGACTTTGGGAGGGTGAAAACAGCCTCTCTCGGGCTCCGGGGGGCCCCTGGAAGCCGGGAACAGGCCCGTTTCAAGACTTCCAGAAGGCCCATTTTTCACCCTCCCAGACTCCATGCGGGCCACACAGAGACTCCTGAAAGGGGCGGGGCGGGCGGGGCCCACCAGACTTCCGGGAGGGCAGATTTTCACCTTCCCCAGAATCCTGAGGCTTCCCTCGGGACTCTGGGAAGCCAAAAACAGCCTCTCCCGGGCTCCGGAAGCCAGAAACAGGCCTGTTTCTGGACTTCTGGAAGGCCCGGTTTTTCACCCTCCATGCGGGCCACACGGAGAGTCCTGAAAGGGGTGGGGTGGGG